TCCGTGCGTCCCCCGCGACTGCTAGACATTACCAACACTGTTGGTCACGATCTTTGGGGAGCGAAGTCGTAATTTTCTAAGCAAATGTCCTGTCGAATTACATAAGCAATTTAGTGGCAAGCGTATTCCAGGGAAGGCTTAGAGTCACTAGTGACTAATCACGAATTGAATGGGCATGTAATACAGTTGAACACGAGACTTGCTACTTCTAGACTATACTTACGCGTAATACTAATATATATTATATATATATACTATATATAGTATATTTAACTAACGCGGGAAAGATTTTGCATGAACATGTCGATTATACAAAGTGATGTCGGCTGACTTTTTCATAGATTTTAAATTTTCTTAAGAATCTGTTAGTTGAAAGGCTTAACGGCGAGATATAAAATGTTATGTGCGATTATTTGTCGGGAATGTATATGTATGTGTGATATATAATATATATATATATATATATATATATGATTTATTTATTTAATAATTATCTATTTATTTCAGTGTATAGCACAATAGAAATATTATCGGGTAATTTTTTAAAAAAAAAATAATACTTGATTTTTTTAATTGCAGCATCATGCTAGCAGGGATCCGCATTTCCGTAAAGCAAGCTCGCCGTTGATAACTAAGACATCAAACACCAATGATATCATGAATATATATATATTATTATATATATATATACTAAATAGCGTACGAATAGAGGCAGACAACGAGTAGACAATGGAAATGTTTCTGATTTGGCCGCTATCATGGGAAGACAGACCTGTTTCACCGCTGCTGCAAAATCACTGATAGTGGGCCTCTAGGGGGCAGACAGAAGCCTTTTTATGGGCATTTCTCGAGGAAGCTAGCCACGAGGATCCATCCAGTAGTCATACGCGAGCAGGATGCACCTGGCCGGCCGCCGCACGGTTACAGCCAACTGTCCAAACAGGAAACAATCATTTCCCCAAGGCAAAATTAACATGAATTTTTAATTTGAAATATTTATAATTTATACCGATGAAATTAAATCGTGAGGAATCTATAGTAAATTTTTGACAGGCTGAGAAAGTGCTGAGGCGAGAAGTCTTGAAAATGAGGTTTCTTGCGAAGCAAAAGAAAACTCGTTGAATAAATATTACGCAAGATTGATGAGCAACTTAAGAATGAGATCGATGCCGTATAGCGTAGAGGTCTACGAGATCGGAAGGAGAGGGGCGAGGGAGGGTAGTGCGCATGACCACGATTTAGGAATTCACATGCTTACTTGATGATGCATTCAATTTTTAATCTGTGGACGGTTAACAAATTAGCCGGCAAACGAACTGGATAGATTTGTAACCGGATTTTAAGACCGAATGTCGCTTGTTTATCTGTTTAGTAAGTATTTATAATTGAAAAACGCTTTGCAAAGTATTTATCCGATTAACCATAAACACGACGATTGCATAAACATTAATTATTATATTTTCACGGAAGCAATGCTACTCTACCATGAAGGGGAAATGTGCTGGTGTGGTGAAACGATAGGTATATTCGACTAATCTCGCCGTGACGTACACAGATTGCAAAAGATGAGAGTTTTCTTAATCTAATGCAAATGGAAAAGTACTCAAACGCAAATAATCAACTAATGATATACACAAATAAGTATAATACCAGAAGGCCTTACTTGCGCGCGTGAACGTGAATTTGAAACCGAATACATGGTCGTCCAGAATACACCACGAGCACCTCGCAGGTCGTGAAGGGAACGAACAGCTCCTGCCGGCATCTGCTAGCATTGACAGCGTCGGCTGAAGCGCGAAAGGAATCGGCTGGTGGTTATGGTACCCGGAGCGGCGCACATCTGTACACTTCCCCCGAGAGCGTGTGTGAGCGTTGACGCGCGCGGCGGATTTCTGCATGCCGTGATGCCGTGCGTCGCCGCACAGCAACGCCGCCGCACGTGCGGACACATCTCTCCGTTATAATACTATAAACTAAATTCCCGTCGATTAATTCCTCAGTGCGCGATGTTTTTTTTTTTTTTTTTTTTTTTTTTTTTTTTTTTTTCTTTTGACGAATATCGTGTAGGCATGAAGCGGTGCGGGCTTGCTGTCGATTTAAGCACGCATGTTGCGCGAGAGTGCCCCTGGTAATTGGCGGCAGCGCGGCATCGCGCGGCAGAAGCCACTGTGTGCGAGGCTGCCACTGCTGTAACTAATTGTCGCCCAATTAGTGTCAATCGCTTATACCAGACTATAATTTTTGGCCAACCCTTTGTGGTGCTTGCCAGGGGGAAGTTTGTCCCAGGCGAGACCTTTACTTTGTAGTGACTAGCGGGCAGATCCTTTGTTGCTGCCGCTACTCACGGTCATTACAGCGTTATTAAAAGCTTCCAGTCACGCGGCAAGTACATTGATAGAATTATTTTTTCGATTTTCCTCTGGCAATGCCGCGTTTTGACGATTTCTGGCCAGTGCCTTATGCTAAAAGGTTTTCTCAATTTGCCGAAGTATATGTGATTGTTATTAATTTTGTCGGAATTGCGCAGCAGAGGAATTCGCGCACTACCTCAAAACTTTAGCGGCCCTTTGCGCTGTGCCTTTCGCCGAACACTGGCGAAAGTAAAGCAGCGTGTGGCGCGATTCTTGTGTAGAAATTGCGACTGTACTGATTAGAAATTATTACGCTTCTTGAATTTATAGCGATGCAATGGGAAACATTCTAACAGTGCACTGACTATGTGTCAAACAAACGTAACAGGGAGAATGATGTCAAACTATAAACAGTTCAGTGATTAGCCCACCACAGAAGGCCATTTCGCACACAATTCCCTCCACTATTTGTGTACTGATTAACAACATTACAGTAAAAAGAAAGCGACAATTTTTGGCATCGATTAAGAACCTGCTGCGCGTGATAATTGTGTCATGATTTGATATTATTTGGATATAATAAAAACAGACTCACATAGGTATAATGCAAAACTACAGCATCATGAAAATATAAATGGGCGAATTGTTTCGGAAATCCTCGTGCTCGCTGTGGTGGCGAATTTCAGCACGTTTGCCTCGTACATATTAATGCGCTAATAAATTATTTGCGCTTTGGCGCGTATACAGAAACTGGTACGTTACGATTAAACTACAATTTTTCGCGTGGTAAACTATAGGGACGTCGCCGTGCTCTATACGGAAGCGCTATGCAGCATTGTACGTAGCGTACTTGCTCGGCGATTTGCGCAACGCTATACTCGCAAATGTGCGAACGGCTTTTGCGTTTGTCAATACACATTCGTGCGCATCACAACTGGCTGAAAATCTTCGACACGATGATTATATTTCATCTCAGTGATATTACGGCGCCCCGTTTCCAAAATCATGAATACTGATGGCCTATGCTTCCGCGCACCGATTCTAATGTGAATTGAACTATCGGGCGCCTTGACGGCAATCAAGGTGCTGAGATGTATTTTGGTGCAGCAGCCAGGGGCGGGCCGCAACTAACCCAGAGACCGTCGGTCGAGAAGCAGGCAAGCTGTTTTCCTGATTGGCATTCAACCAATAATATCAACAAGTAATGAGAAATTATAGGCAATATAATAACGTAATCACTTCTATAAAGATACCATTGTCCGCGTGTCGCACTGAGAACGTTTTTAATTGGTTTAATCATAAATTATTAGTAACTAGAATGAACCAATTATTGTCAGACTGCTCTGGGAGTAGCTATAGGCTGCACTTGGCGAGCCACACATCTTTATATCAATTTGAGTCCGTGCTGCAGCTTTCGACGAAATAAATACCGCCAACAGCGACCGGCTTGACCAGCAATGTGACATCACATACACAGGCCTAGTTAGACTTGACTAACTAGACATATAAATTATATATTGAAAGCATCGGCGTGGTGCGCAGGTGCATGCGCACTGTCTATATGCGATTAGACCTCGGAATAATAACCGTAAAAATAGTTAGAGATATTTATCATTTGATTTGAACATTAATTGTTTTTAGTGAATGAAAAAAAATTGGAAAGCAGTGTGGGCGTGGAGTAAGTAATATTTAAGCACGTCCTCAAGCATTAATATTCGCAACTTCTCTCAGCCTCCTGCACTCTTTTGATTCGGTAATATAACATTTCAGTTTACACGTTTAAACATATTCAGCATAACCATCCACCGTTGTATTTATAGTGATGTATACGATATGACAGTTGACCAATAAGGCTGTGAAATGTCTTTTAGCCATCAAATAACTGCGTCGTAACTTTACTGACACTTACGAGTGCGTATTCTCGTTGGAAATGATCATCGGATCAGAAGCGTATAGAGACACGGAGTACAATTGTGTAATATTTATGCGTTATTATCATTATAAAATACGAAATAATTAAATAATCTTCCAAGTAAAATAATGATACATTTATTAAGCATGGTTAAGAACTAGATAGAACGACACGAGGTCCTGATGGCTCGTGTCGGTATCAGCTAAAAAAATAGGTGGTTACGATTCCCGTGACTGAAATCAAAACCAAGCTTCG